TAAAGAGAGGGAAGTGGAGGAGTTGCTTTAGAAGCAGCGGTAAGCTGAGACCTCTCTAAAGAGGGATCATTTGATCTTATCTCTGCAGCCTTTCTAAGAGGCTGAGGGAACTAATCTGAATTCACTTCAATTTCTCCCATATCCGCTACTGAAAGGCCACTTTATAAAAGTGATGGCAACTCAATTCTCACCATTGCACTAGGCCAATGAGAGCAACTGTCATTCTTTCTTCACCCAACACTTTGCCCTGTGGCTAATACAAGGTCAAAGGGGAAGAAAAAGCTCTGATGTCCAATGACCCATAGAATCCCCCTTGAAGTGTATGAGTTGCCAGTGAGGCTTTATATCTGCTTCTCAGAATTAAATGATGCTGCCTTTTTGTCATAAGGATTCAAATCTAGTCACCAAATATTTGATAAGTGGCGCCGTACCTAAGGCATTTGACGGCTAGCCAGAGGTTGGTAGTTCAAACCCACCAACTGGTCCAAAGAAGGAGGATGGGACAATCTACTTCCATAAAAATTTCCCACCTTGGAAACCCAATGGGGGTCACTCTAAGTCGGAATTGACTCAATGGCAGTGGGTTTGTTTTTTTTTTTTTTCATCCTGATCACCTGGCATTATGTTACCATGTGGCTTCTACTCCTGGTTATATGACTTTGGACAAGTTACTTGAACACTCAAGAGTATTAGCTTCTTCATCATATGCATGTGTCACTTGTAACATGAAATTAATATTTACCATTTAAAATCCTTTAGATTAAATGAGATGATACTATTAAACAAAACAAATCAAAGCAAGTAAAACATGCCCTGCTATCTGGAGTGTAACAAATACTGATTAAATGTTAGGAGCTCTGGTGGCATAGTGCCTAAGGCACTTGACTGCTAAGCAGAAGGCTTGCAGTTCAAATCCTCGGAAGGAAGATTGGGCAATCTACTTCCGTAGTGTTACCACCTTGGAAACCCAAGGAGGGGCCGCTATGAGTCAGGTCTGACTTGACAGCACATAACAACAACAGCCATGATGATGATGATAATGATAAATAACGTTATATGCATTCATTCAACAAATATTTTATGAGTGCCAATCATAATCTAGACAATGTTTTATGTCCTTGGGGTACATCACTGAAAACAGATACAAGTAAATCAATGACTTTGTGGAGCTTACATTATGGTGCATGGAGCCATTCTTTAACACTTGGTTGGCCTAGAATTCTATAAGAAATAGTAGCTAGTGAATAATTGGTATCGAGTCCAATCGCAATTTAAAAATCAACTAAAAGGCTAATAAAAAAACAAACCCACTGCCATCAAGTCAATTCTGACTTATAGCGACCCTATAGGACAGGGTAGAACTTGCCCCATAGAGTTTCCAGGTGTGTAAATCTTTATGGAAGCACACTGCCTCATCTTTCTCCCATGGAGTGGCTGATGGGTTTGAACCACTGACCTTTTGGTTAGCAGCCGAATGCTTTAACCACTGCACCACCAGAGTTCCTTTTAATAGGCTAATAAACTATAATATACTGGACAAAAACACTGCAAGTTTTACAGTTTGAATGCTTATGAAATACAGATTTTTAAATGATCTCTATATAGAGCAGTAAGCTCTGTGGTCTAGGATTGCACTAGGAGAGCGTGCTATGAAAACATAGTGTTTGAATCGGAGATTGTCTCAGAAAGCCCAACACATATGGTGCCCATATCTATGAAATCGCCAAGGGGAAATTATAGAGAAACACATCCTGTGTGTCACTCTCTGAGATCAATGTACTCCCTGCACAAAGCTGGCTCTAAAACGTGCCTTTTGCCCTTTGACCTGTGCTGAGAGCCTGCGTGTGTCGTATGAGGCAGCAGTGAGAAATCTTGCAGAAATGAAAAGGTTCAGTTCTAGTCATGTAGCTATAGTTTACTGGTAACTTTTCCCAGGCTTCAAAAGGACATTCTGTAGATACCTATGATGTAAGAGGGTGTTCCCACTTCAGCTGTGGCCAGCAGATGCTATGTGAACGCTTGCTATGTCCATGTGTGCTGATAAAAGCAAGGAAAATATGAATAATGGAAAAGAATGGCAGGCCGCTGCTTTGCTGGCTATAGTGATTTTAAAGACAAGCTAAGCACACACTTAAGCTTCTCCCTGGCAAAGTGTTTGAGTCCCCTTGAAATTTTTCACTCTTGTGAGAATGACTCACATCTTGGAAATGACAGCTTAAGTCTGGTGCTCCAGACCTTTATGCCTTGCTTAATGTACCCCTGGGGAGTGTCCAGGGTCCCATCAGCTGTGTTAATTAATGAGGGATGCTGTACTCTCTTGCTTTTAGCTAAAAAGTCAGCCTCTCGCCATTCTTCAGCTGCCTGAACTTTCTGTTCCTGGTACGATTATTTTCCTCAGGCTCACAGATTACATACTGTGAAGTCCCACACAGCTGTAGAAGGGGAACCACTGCACCTTTATTGGGTTTTGGTTTTCAGTTTTCTAACCAGCTGATAGGTCCCTGGATGGTGCACATGGTTTGTGCTGGACTGGTAACCTAAAGTGGGCAAATCAACCCCACCCAGTTGCACCCCAGAAAAAAGGCCTGAAGAACTACTTCCATAAAGATCAGAGCCAAGAAAACTCTCTGCAACACAGTTGTACTCTGTATCATACGGGCCCCCCATAAATTGGAATTGACTCAGCAGCAATGGGTTTTGGTTTGGTTTATTAGTTAACAGATACTTTAAATGACATTGTGTTTCTGAGTTTTTAAAACACTTTCACTATTTCATTTCTTAGCTTTGACAAATAAAATCGTCTCCACTTAATGAAGGAAAATGATGACCATTAGCTAGAATCCTGGTCTCCAGACTCCTTCATGTTACCTAAGTTGTATTAATTAGAGTCAACTGAAGTTCAAAATGCAGAGTGGGTAAACAAAAAATCATACACACAGATGAAAACTCAGATTATTTCTTGCTGAGGAGGCAGGTGTTCCTAACTGGTGTGTGGCTCCCTTTCGTGTGGCAATTCAGGGACTAATCTCCTTCTACTTCAGAACTCTGTGGTCACCTAGGATGTTAACCTGTGTATCAAGTCTGTGGGAGGCAAAGAGAGACCTGCCCTCTCTTTTGAAAGTCCCTGCTGGAAATGGTACATCTCAGATTTCCAAAGGTTGGAACTTCATGACCGCACTTGGTATTCTGTGCTCAAGAAGGTGAGGTGAGCCCCCATACTAATGTTTCCACACAGTGTACTGTGTACCCACTCAGGACCAGTTCCCATGTATGACTGCAGGGGATAGAATGTGGATGTGAGCAGCATGGCGGTCCTCAAACTAACAACTACCAGGATGATTTTAGGTGGATACTTAAGTTTTACTATGGATTAGGAAAATATAAAGAACATACCAATCAAGAGATTTTGTAGAGATCCTTGCTTAGTATAAGTTTCCTTTTAAAATAAATTCATCTGCTGTTCATAAACTACTTAAATTAAATAAGAAGTTTAAGTACTAATTGTATGGAAGTATGACCAAATTTGAAGTTGATGTGAATGACTGAAGTTGGAGACACTATATTATACCATTTGTGTTCTATGATAGTCTGTCCTTGGTGGAGGAAGCAAATCAGCTTGAGGTAAAAATAAATAAGATACAAAAGGCTTACCAAGCACCAATCTTACCAAGGCCCGCATTAGAGATGCTTTAGGGAATACAGAAAAATTGTCCTTCTGTCCTCAACCCACCCACTGCCCTCGAGTCGGACCCAACTCATAGCGACCCCTCCTTGGATTTCCGAGGCAGTATCACTATGGAAGTAGATTGCCCAACCTTCCTTCCGAGGAGTGGCTGGTGGGTTTGAACTGCTAGCCTTCTGGTTAGCAGTTAAATGCCTTAGGCACTATGCCATCAGAGCTCCCTCAAGTTATTTAAAATCACATTCAGGAGATATACAAGCTTTAGGGAAGAGTACAAAAAAAAAAAAAAAAAAAGGGCTGAAATTTGTTTCTGGTTTAATGTACTACAGCTTCCAAGAAGAAACTGTGTGTTAAACTCTATTGTTGAACTTAAGCATGATGGTTTTTTGGGTTTTTTTTCTTAATGTATTAGTTATTTCTACAAACACTGTGTACTTACCATGTTTCAGGAAGTCTGCTCAGCCAGGTGGACACTGAGATGAATCACAAGTTCCTGATCCTCAGAGTCTTGCCATCTAGTGGTTGGTGACAGTAGACGGGGAGATAGACATCTGGACAAAGGAGTGTAATTCAGAAAAACAGGGCCTTCCATAGATATCTATACAGAGCACCCACGGACAGAACATTATTAATGCAACAGGGACTTTGGCAACAATTGAGCCTACACACCCTCACTTACCAGATTAAAAAGCTGAGGCCCCCCTCCCTGCCAAGAGGTAAAGTCACTCATCTAAGGTTATGCGGCTAGTTAGTAGAAGAGCTAGAACTAGAATCCAGGCACCCTGACCTCCAGCGTCAGCTGACTACATGGAAAGGATGAGATTCATTGGAGATGAGATGAAGTTATAAATGAGAAACTTTGCAACACCTTCTGTGTATTATTCACTGGTCAGTATTTATTGGGAGTGAAGAGGGGTACGGGGTGGTGCAGGAAGAAAGATTACTCTGGGAGCTAGGAAATGTACGTTCTGGGCCTAACTCTGACCACATTTGCAAAGTGCAGGCTTAGATAATTGATCTAAGACATTGAGAAGAATATAGCCATGTGTTTGTTCAACACAGCATAATTTCCAGTAATGCACTGCAGTAGCATGCTATCTGATTTTGGAAACAGCACTCTGCGATGTGCCAGGAGGACATCCTTGTCCCTGTTCTGCAGATGACCAAACTGAGGTATAGCAAAGCACACAGTTAGCTAAATAATTCAGGGTTAGATCTCCTGGATGCTTCTAGTCCAATATTCTCTCCACAATAACATGTATATAACAAGTGGGAAACAAGAATGGTTAACCAAACCTATCACTTTATTATATTACAGATGCATTGTGAGAGGTTTCTATGCATCCTGAGAATAATTGGAACCACACTCTTTGGAGTCTCTCTCCTCCTTGGACTCACAGCTGCTTACGTTGTTGGCTACCAGTTTATCCATACGGATAATTACTATTTCTCTTTTGGACTGTATGGTGCCTTTTTAGCATCACACCTCATCATCCAAAGCCTGTTTGCCTTTTTGGAGCACCGAAAAATGAAAAAGTCCCTCGAAACCCCAATTAAGTTGAACAAAACAGTTGCTCTTTGCATAGCTGCCTATCAAGAAGATCCCACCTACTTAAGGAAATGTTTGCAATCTGTGAAAAGGCTCACGTACCCTGGAATTAAAGTCGTCATGGTCATAGATGGGAACTCGGATGACGATCTTTACATGATGGACATCTTCAGTGAAATCATGGGCAGAGACAAATCAGCCACTTACATCTGGAAGAACAACTTCCATGAAAAGGGGCCCGGTGAGACAGAGGAGTCACATAAAGAAAGCTCACTTCATGTAACCCAATTAGTGTTGTCCAACAAAAGTACTTGCATCATGCAAAAGTGGGGTGGAAAAAGAGAAGTCATGTACACGGCCTTCAGAGCTCTGGGACGAAGTGTGGATTATGTGCAGGTAGGTCTCCAAATTCCTGCCAGTGCAAACATACATTTAAATAAAGCCGCTTTTGTATCTCTCCAGTCGAACGCTATAGCCCATCCTTGTCCCTTCTGAACACAGTACTCCTTTCAGTTCGTTTGAAAACAGCGTGCTGTTGAAAGCACATTTTGAAAGAGAGAAAAACAAATCTCGTAAAACTGTTAAGACTATCTATGAAAATGCTTAGCTTGTGCAGTGCTATTGGTTGGAAATCAAGACTATTTTGAACATGAGACCCTTCCTTCCCTCTTCTCCCCCTCTTACCTTCTCTGCCCCCTCAATTCTGCCAAGTCAAATCCAACGTCATTTTCCATACTCTTAAAATCTTCAGCCTTGTTAGAAAATAGTGTCTGCCACGCACAAGGGTCTTGAGAAAATCTGCAAACTGAGAGGAAGGCTTAGAAAATGTTTTGTTTTGTTTTTCACAGAGACGTGGACAACATGGGGTAGGTGGGAACAATTTTTATTTAAAAGTGTAGAAAAATTCAAAATTGAGAGAGAGAAAGAAAGGGTGAAGGAAAAACAGGGGGAAAAAAAACCCTCAGAGCAAAGTTAGAGTAATGTTTACTTCACTCCCAAAACAGGATTACCTCACTCACTGCAATCTGACCTTTGGAAGAATTTGTGATGGTGTTTGCTTGCATAAAATTTAGACAGGTTGTGTTCCTCATTAATTCCCTGACTGCTCTCTCTCAGGTCTCTACTTTCTTTGTTCTCATGGAGGTCTTCTTTAGGACATGCATAGTGTCCCTGGAGTTTTCTAGTTTAATCTGCAGATTCTTTAGTTAGATTTTAGGCATGATGATATCAAGAAAGGCAAAATGTCCTGATGTAATAAAATCCACTGGGCACCCTTCCTTTCCTCTTAAAAGTGTAATCTAGTTTCCAGCAGCCTTAGTATATTTTTAAAAGACTTTTACTGCTTAAAAAGAGTCCCTGGGTGGCATAAATGATTAAACTCTCAACTATTAGCTAAAAGGTTGACGGATCAAACCCACCCAGATGTGCTCCAGAAGGTAGGCCTGGAGATCTGCTTCTGAAAGGTCAGTCTGGAAGACGCTGTGGAGCAGTTCTACTCTGCACACGTGGTGTCGCCATGAGTCAGGTTCAACTGGAACGCAACTAACAACAATAACAACAAAGTGCCCCAAAGTCACACCCTGTGGGTCTTCATTGTAATGTGTTGAGAATGGTGCTGGCTTTGGAGTCAATGGATTAAGATCTAATTATCGATATTACTAGTTGTTTAGGAGCTCTGGTGGTGCAGTGCCTAAGGCATTTGTCTGCTAACCAGAAGGCTGGCAGTTCAAACCCACCATCCACTCCTCAGAAGGAAGGTTGGGCAACCTACTTCCATAGAGACACTGCCTTGGACACCTTGAACCAACACCACCTCCCTGAGCCTTAGTTTTCTGGATAGAGTACGCCAATTCCACAGGAATTTTGAGATGACCAAATAATGTATTTAAAGTACTTAACAAAAGTTGTTAATGATAATACTAATGTGATTAAAGTTTTTACTCTTAATATTATTATCTATTATATTATGAAGGAGCTCTGGTAGCATAGTGCCTAAGGCACTTGACTGCTAACCAGAAGGCTGGCGGTTCAAACCCACCAGCCACTCCTCGGAAGGAAGGTTGGGCATTCCTACTTCCGTAGTGATATTGCCTCGGAAACCCAAGGAGGGGTCGCTATGAGTCGGGGCCGACTCGATGGCAAATAACAACAACAACATTATATTATGAATCTATGGACATTCTGGGTAGTGCAAAAGGTTAACACACTTGGCTGGTAGTTGAAAGGTGTTGTTGTTATGTGCCATCGAGTCGGACCTAACTCATAGCGACCCCTCCTTGTGTTTCTGAGGTGGTATCAGTATGGAAGTAGATTGCCCTACCTTCCTTCTGAGGAGTGGCTGGTGGGTTTGAACTGCCAGCCTTGTGGTTAGCAGTCAAGTGCCTTAGGCACTACACTACCAGAGCTCCTTATCACTATGGAAGTAGATTGCCCAATATTACTTTCGAGGAGTGACTGGTGAGTTGAACCTCCAGCCTTCTGGTTAGCAGTCAAGGTGCCTTAGGCACTGTGCTACCAGAGCTCCTAGTTGAAAGGTAGGAGGTTCAAATCCACCCAAAGTTTCCTCAGAAGAAAGCCCTGGTAATCTATTTCCAAAAACCCAGCCACTGACAATGCAATGGAGCCCAGTTCTACTCTGACATACATGGGATCTCCTTGAATGAGAATAGAATTGACAGTAACTGTTTACTGCTCTTTCTTGGGGTTTTCTTTGAATCTTTGAGTCATTATTGGAAAATCAAACTACCTGCAAATGCCTATATAGGGTTAATTCTAGTTGATATCTGAAGAGTTTTCAGATTTTTTTTTCCCCAGTTACACAACTGGATATTAATCTTATTTCTTGGGATTTAGTAGAGTTTCTCTCTCAAGCTTCTCCTAACTTCTCAACCGTCAGCCTTCCACAATTAAATAGCTTCAAGGATCTCAAGATGTTTGGTCTTTACATAGTAAAATGTCAGGCTCAGAGGCATGATGTCATGGCATTTGTAAAGGAAGGGATGGTTGGGGAACACATAGAGGATTTGAAGAGTGATGTTCTGGGCCTACCATGAGAAAATGTCTGTTTTGATATTTTGCCTTTAATTCTAGTTGAAATGACTGCTACATTTGTCATTTCTAACCAAGGCCTCATTATGTGGGAACTTTTTTTTAACCTGCTGCTCCCAAAGCCCCTTCTCCCATCAGTCTTGTTTTGAATTTTGTTTGTATCCTTGACAACTTTACATTGGGCCTATCTCAGAAAAAAAAATACAAAATATGAAATGGCAGAGTTGGCTTCCTGCAGGAGCCCTGACCTCTCTGCAGTTAAGCAGTGTTGAGCACTTGACTTTCGTCAGGGTGAGGCTTCTGAATTGACTGACCTGCAGTGGTGTTAACAAGACCCTGACACCTCCTGGGGCTCTCAGCCAGTGTCAAGTACTCAAACAAGACTATAAACATTCCCCATTCTCAAACCAGTTGATTCCATCCTGCCACCCCTCATCAAATATCTGGCTATTTAGTCATTGTGGACATACGAAAATGGCAGTTTCCTAAGGTTCAACCTGAGGCACTCTCATCTTTGATTCTGATAGGCCCAGAGCTCAAAAGTTGCAGAGCAGAGCCACATGAAGACAAAGGCAAAAGAGAGTCCGGGGTGTTGGCTGTTCAGCATTACAAGTGATCAAACTTGGAGAGCAGATTGGTTAGGGGAGGAAGGAAGCAAAATTGAACTGTAATACATTAGAGAAATGGGGGCTAGGGTGAGGGAATGGCCTGTCTTCTCACATACTTGCTAACCTGGCTGGAGAATACTGCTTAACTGTGCAGAGAGATGGCCAACTTATTTCAAGTTGCAGCTGGGTCCTTGGCGCTGGTCATGACTCTTCTGTTGATCTTGAAGAGATGTCTTGCTTATTGCTCTCATAATCTATTATTTCATACCTTCACCACTCTCCCAGGGCTCTACCCAAACTCCTCCCTCCTTAACTACTAACAGATGACTTTGCCTCCTACTGAAGAAGAAATCAGAAGTATTGATTCTGAATGCTGTCATGATCTTCTTTAATCTCTCCTGCTTACAATCTCAGGGTTGCCCAACCTCACTTCCTCTCTCAAGGATAACCTTTCTACCTGTCCTCCAGGGCCCTCATGGTCTGTTCGCTCTGTCTTCTCTGGAATAAGACTTTATTAATGGCTACCTACAGGAGCTCTGGTAGCATAGTGCCTAAGGCACTCGACTGCTAACCAGAAGGCTGGCGGTTCAAACCCACCAGCCACTCCTCGGAAGGAAGGTTGGGCAATCTACTTCCGTAGTGATACTGCCTCAGAAACCCAAGAAGGGGTCGCTATGAGTCTGGGCTGACTCGAAGGCATGTAACAACAACAACAACAATGGCTACCTACACACACACACACACACACACACACACCCCTTCGTCTCTCTCAGCTTTCTCTGGTCCTCTCTTTGGCCACTGTCCCAGCCTTTTTGCTATTCAAAAAACTAATGTTGACATGGAATACTGAGGGAAACTCTATTCTAGGAGAAAACGAGTGTGATAGCAAATTTGTCTGATGATGCTGGTGGCCACTTTCAGAGATACACTAGGAAGACCAAAGGAAAAGAAACCAAATGAGAAAAGGCCAGGAAATGAATGAGAAGTAAAGAGGAGAATGAGGAAGGTTTTCTTAATTCTGAATAAAAATATTTCCTGGAGAGACTTTTCCAACTCCCCCAACCAATAAAGGACAGCTTCAGACCTTTTCTGCTTAAGGTAGGGAAAAAATATTGTTTACCTATTCAAAATAATATTTATACTCCCCTTTCTACTTACTTACCAAAGTGACACATGTTTATAGCAGCCTATGCAGGCCAACTTGACACCACCTGACAACAACAACATATAGTCCCTGGGTAGTATAAAGAGTTAACATATTTGGCTGCTAATCAAAAGGTTGGAAGTTTGAGTCACCCAGAGGCACCTGAGAAGAAAGGAATGGCAATCTACATCCTAAAAACCAGCCATTGAAAACCCTGGGAAGCACAGTTCTATTCCGACACACGTGTGGTTGCTGTGAGTAGGAACTGATCCAGTGACAACTAGTTGGGGTGTAGGAAGTCATTTAGAGACTATGGGATAGCACAATGAGCAAAAGTAAAATCAACTGAAACAAACACAAACCCCATAGGCTGTCAAGTTTAATACTTTCCAGTGTATACCCTTTGATTTTTCCTTTACTTTTAAAACAGTTTGGGGATTTTATTATGTTTACTGTTTTTGTATCATGTTATTATTATTTTTTTTTTACATAACAGTATCAGAAGACTTTTTAAAAATATCCTTTGATATCTAGATTATGTAATTGTTTTATTCATATCTCTTATCACTGAATATGGATATAACAACTTAAGTGGC